AGTAAATAAAAATGAATGTGTGTGTGTTTGTATATATAGAAATTTTGTTTTAAGTGTCATAAAATTAAAAAAAAAGTATAAACTAAAATTACATTTTTTGCTCTTTGAAATAAAGCAAATTTTAAAAAATTAGAAAAAGCTCAAATTATTGAAATAAAATAAAATATATGAAACTAAAAAAATATTTGTAATAATAACATATTTATATAAAAACGTAATAATATGTATATAATATTAAGAAAGAAATATGTGCAAAGAAAAATATTTTTCCGAAAATATGTATTTTCATTTTAAATGGAAATAAGTTAAATCATTATATGTATATAAAAAAAAATATACGAGAATCGAAAGTTGAATAAAATCACATAAATAACTAATTATTATATATCAATGCATCACCCAAGTGATCAGCGGTTTATCAAGCAAAGAAGAAGATAAACATTGCATTAAACCATATTTTTTGCAAAATGAACTAATTTACTTTAATTGCCAATAAAGTATTTACCTCTAAAAGAGATATTACAATTATACTATTTTTTATTAAATTTAAATTAATTTAAATCAAATGAACGCAAAGGCAAACAAAAAAATATTGTTTAGCGAAAAAAAAAAATACGTTTAAAATCCTTAACTTCACTCCAGAAAGCAACAAAACAGTGAAATTACCTTAAATTAGACACTCGCTTCCATTGAGAAGGCGAGTGTCTAAACAAAAAAATCAAAAATATAAAATAAAAAAAAGCAAGTGCCGAATATAACAAATGAATGAACAATTAAGAAAGTGGGAGTTACCTTTCCATATTTGTTAACAGCACTAACAATATGTATGTTAAAAAGAAAACCCAAACAACAACAAGAAGAAACAGAAATTTTGATGCTGATGGATGGCTTATAAGAAACAAGCAGATAACAATTAAAATAACAAACACCAACAACAACATTACAGCAACATTAAACAGCATCAATGACAATGGAAACCCACGTACAACAACCAACCATTGATATTGTTGCCGCTGCTGCTCCTACCTCGCTCAGAAAGCAAAAATCTTATAAACCAAAAATATGAACAAATATGTATAGAACTCAAAACTCAAGAAAAAAAACAAAAAAAAAAACCACAGTACAACAAAAGCACAAACATTGATAACTAACTGCCTTAAGCAAACAAAACGAGATAGCAACTGCAATGCCGCATGTAAAGAAATGAAAGCAACAATGTTTGTTGTTGGTGTTTTTGTTGTTGGCATAAGACATGATATGAATGAATTATGATAAATTATTAATCAAAAGTATAAGCAGCCAAAAGGAGAGAGCACATACAGTTTGCTACAAGCTAGAATGTGCTAGAGTGAGAAATGTAATGCTAATAAGAATGCTTATCAAACATGAAAGGAAAAAATGAAAATAAAAATAAAAATAGAAAAAATAGAAGTCCAATAATAATGAAAGGCAGCATATACAAAACTAGGAATATGACTACAGCAAAAAATAATATATTAACAAAAGAGCGAAAGGTGAGCCCGCAGGAAAAGAAAAAATCATAAGTTACTTATTGGAAAAAATGAATAACATAAACAACAGTAATAACAGCAACAACAAAAGTCTCCGCAGCTACATTCACATAAAAGATACATCACAACACAACACAACACAACACACCACAGCACAACACAAGAGAAGAAAATAAAATTCACAAAATTTTGTTGTAAAAAGTTAGATATATTTTGATGTTAAGGAAGGAAGTAAATGAGTAGAAATGCGGTGGTCGTTGGCTTGCTCATAATTTTTCAATATACAATTATGAGTATGTAAGAAAAAAATGTTAACGTACAGCGTATGTAAGACGCTGTTTACGTATACGTCAACAGCGACATCGACAGAATGCATGCTGTAGCAGCAAAGTTAACAATGAGCTACGCCAACAATTACTAAGAAACAGGTAAGTTCAAAATTGTGGCTGTTAACATAATTTGACTTAGTATTAATATTTGTTTTTTTTTTTGTTTTTTGCTTGCTTTTACTAAAATGCAAGAGAGCATAAATGTTGCTTATCAAAATCAAAAAAGAGGGTGCGAATGATTAAGCCAAAAAATGCTCAGCCATAATCAATTGAAGTGAAACAGCGCAAGCATGTCTAACAGCGTCGTTGAATGTGGTAAGCGTAAGCGAAATAGCATGCTTGAGAGCGACTTTCGGTTGGGAACAAAAAAAAAGTTATTAAGAAATTGTACAAAAAATCTGATGAGAAGGAAAATGGCTATACGAGTGCGCTGTGCTAATGGTAACATTAGTAAAAAAGAGTAAGCATGTAAAAAAAATATTATAAAGTATATTTAACGTGTGATCGGAGTGTGAGCAGCAAAAAAAGCAACAAAACATTTATGTATGGTGTATGCGTGAACTGTGCTGTTGGCTACTGCTGGTTTGAGACTTGTGCCGCCGCAATCGTGAGTACTGAGTGCTTTGCTATACTTTGCCATACTGTTGAACAGTGCAGAACAGGGGCAGAACATCACATATAAAAATATTTTTCTGTTTTTCTGTTTTGTGTTTTTGTGTTTTTGTGTTTTTCTAGTGCAACGAACAGAAACGAAGCATATATTTCATTTGAGTGACTTTTAGCTCGTTTGGTTATTATTGTTTGTGTCAGTGCTATTTTGACGCGCGTGTTGAACGTTACATGCATAGGTAGAGCCGTGTTGCGACACGAAGGCACGAGCATATAAAAATACGTTAATTTGTATATAAACTATAGCAAGAATAATTATAAAAGTATTTTATTTGGAAAATTGTACTAAATAAACGTTAAGTGAATTGTGAGGAAAAATAAAATAACTGTTGGAGTGATTTACAATAAATCAGGAATTAACAAAAAAAAAGAAAAACATAAATACTAAATATAAGAAAAAAAATTTGCCGGCGGTAAATAAAAATTATTTAAAATCAAGAAACTTTACTTTATATATATAAAGACTGTGCAATCAAAACACTTCATTCAATTGGACTAATAAAATGCAAATGCAAATCATTATTTGAATACTTGTATCAAGTGAAACAATTAAACTCTCCCACAAATAAATACTTGTAAGATTTCGTAAAAAAATATATTTATAAAATGTATTATAAATAAGATCAACAAAACACAAAAAAAAAAAACTCTTCTAAGCACGCATGAAAGTTTTTGTTTTTGCTATGTGCAACTCATAAATTCCAATCAACACACGTACTTACGCATGTACACGCATTGACAAGCATAGAACATATCGACTTACGATCAAGTAACGAGTGCGAGTACATGCAACAACAACAACACTGACAACAGCAATCTTACCATGCACATATATTTACGTAGGTCTGCTGCGTAGTTTATGACGTCGGCGTCAACGGCGATGTGCTACTTACTGTATGCTGCTGCTGCTGCTGCTGCGTAACTGCTGAGAACAGTAGTGAGGAGTGTTGTTGATATGTGCATAGGCTTCATGTGCATGCATAACGATATATGTATGCGCTGCTGTGTGCGTTGTATAGTGTGTGCTTGTGTGTGTTTGTGTGTGTGTCGGTACACAAATGGAAAATATAACAACTCAAAAATAACACCAACAACAACAACAGCAACAACAAAAGAAAATTTTTATTGATATTACATATTATGAGCAGCAAGCATTATTAAACCTTAAACGAAAATATTGATGACAGTTGATGACGGTAGTGCGAAGCGTAAACACACACAACACGGCAACGGCAACAACGGTGACGAACGTTTATAGTAGTAATGTAATAATAACAAAACAACAACAAGCATAATTATTTACATTTTAATAATTGACAAAAAACAAAAAAAAAAAAAACCACGTCAAACAACAACAACAAACAAAACAATTTATATAACCAATTTATATATTAAATATATACTAAATTTTTTTACAAATAAAATTTATATGAAGAATATTTTGAATCTTAAAAAAATAAAATATTTTTCAATTTGTTGTTTGTGGTTACAAGTTTTCGCAATTACAAGAAAAAACAAAGCAACAAACAAATGAAAAAGCGCGCACGTACCGGCAAATAATTAACGACGAATTTATAAAATAATTATAATAATTATAAATAAGTAGCCGCAATGCATACAAAATAAAATTAAACAAAATAAAAATCAAAATTTTTGACAATTAACTAAAGAAACTTTTTTTCACATGCAACAAGCAAAGAAATATTTATAAAAAAAATTGTGCTTAAAGTGCAACAAGCTTTATTCTTATTCTGCTAGCAAAAATGTACAAAACTCAGCAAATGACAACAACGACAACTACAGCAACAATAACAACAACAACAACAACAACTGATCAGCAACATAAACAGTTCATGTTTCCAAACAAATTTATTGTTGTTACATTTTAAAATAAACAAAAACAAAAACAAGAACAAAACTGAAAAAAAGGAAAATTACATAGAACTGAAAGTTACAAGTTGTTGTTGTTTTTGAGACAAAAAGAAAAAAAAACAAAAAACTAAGAAAAACTGAAAACTTTACAATTGTCGGTCTTTCAAATGCAACAGCGAAACACATACCCACGAAAAAAGCTGAGGAAAAGTACATACAAACAAACGTGCAAGTACATCAATGACAAAAACAAAAAACATTGCTATTCTTCTAACAAAAGCAAGAACAAGAGCGAAACGCATTAACACTTAATAATCACACAATAGCAGAGTAATAAAAACGACAACAACAATTATAACAATAATAACAACAACAACAGTTCAATAATTAAAAAAAAAAATTGGCAAAAATCAGTGCAACAAAATCAATGCAAATAAATTTCAAATGCAAAAAGAACAAAGAACAAAAAACAAGAGCAAGCAAGCACCAGCGCAAGCAACAATAAAAAAAACACAAAATAAAAAATAAAAAATAAAAAATAAAAAACAAAAATCAAAATCAATAAATTAAAGGAAAATTTTTGTTGTTGTTCTTTCCTTTTGTTGTTGTTCCTTTTTGCTTTTGCTTAAATGCTTTAAAATAGTTTCAAGTCACAAATGAAAAATAATTTTTCAACTGTTTTGTGTGAGATGCGCAGTGACTTTAAAGATAATCATCAAGAGACCATCAATAAAATGATCCAGTTTGGTACGGTAAAATATGGAATTGTCAAGCAATTGAAGGATCGTGCCCGCAGCACTGACAAAGGTGAGTCTCAACCAATCATTTTTTTTGCAATTATAATATTATAATATTTTTTAAAATTAATTAAAAAACTAAAAGTGTGAATTAGTAAAAAATTAATAATGGAAATGTTTAATTTGTATGTGATGTATATGAAGTAAATGATGTGATCTTATAAGGTTTTAGATTGACACTACTACTATGAGTTAGTGATGTGAGAGAGGATGTAGAAATTATATTTTTATTGAAATAATTTACACTTATAATTTATTTTTAAAACTAAAACAATTATTAATATTGACTAAAAACCAAGTGAGAATTGTAAATGAAAGTTCTTGAGAATGGATGTACTATAATGTGATTATATGTTACAAAATTTAAGTGATAGACACTACCACGCGACGAAGAGTGATGTAATAGTTGCAGATATTATTATTATTATATAAATAATTAATAATATGTTTATAATTATAAAGTTACGGTGTCTGTGATTTCTAAGGAATTGTTTTCTAATGAAGAGGAGCATAATTTATTAAAAATTTAGTTTTTATTATTAGGAAAGTTTTAAGAAAACAGAGTTTGATTCAAAACTAAAAAACTATATTATATTATACTTTTAGAGCGAAGGATCTAGCAATCGAGTTCCTTATTCTTAGTTAACTTTAAAATTAATTTTAATGTTAACTCAAAAATAAATAAATAAATATTATTGTTTTAGCATTGTAAAACACTATAAGTATTAAATAATAAAAAAATCTTTTAGTTACCACCAACGAAATGTCGGGTGAAAAAATGAAGTAAATAAATTTCTTAGCCTAAATAAAAATTATAATTTAAATAAATATTATATTATTTTATATTTTTATTCTATATCTATGTAATTTTTTTTAAGAATTGTTTCTTTGAGCCTTCCAACAGTAAAATGTTATACATAATATTTAAAAAATAGAATATAGGTTTCTATAATTATATTTTTATCTATTATTTTTATTTTTGAAATGGGCTAATGGTCAATTGTTCAATTAATACACAGGGTTTTAAATTAATTTTATAAATTATATTTTATTTTCATCAATATTTCGACTACAGTTTATAGTCTATATAACGGGTACGGATAAATAACGATTTTGGAAATAAAATATTTTTAGATTTAGTGAATAATACGATTATTTAAATAGTTATTATTATATTTAATTTATTATAACTTTTTTGTATTGTAAAGTTTACTAAGTGCTTAACTATAGAATGTCAGACATACCCATGGCAGTAACGGCCCTCAGTTCTTAAAACAATTATGTTACCATTAACATTAAAACACAGAATATATATAAAAATATGTTTTTATTAAAAATTAATATTTAATATTAATACTAACTATAATAATAATTTATTATATATTTATTTATTTATTTATTTGGCAGTTAACATTAAAACTAATTTTAAAGGTAACTAAGAATGAGGAACTGAACTGCTAGATCTTTCGCCCTCAATAATTATTTATATTATATAGTATATAGTATCAATTTTTTTTTAAATCTTTATTTTATATTGAATGTTTAAAATAATATTGCATTATATTTTTTAAATATTTTGTATATTTTTTAATGTTTCTAATTTTTCTTTTTAATTTGCCGATAAGCCTTTAATAAAACTTAATTAAATTAGGAAAAGTAAATATACCTAAAGTTAGAAATATGTCGAAAAAAATTAAAAATATTTAAAAATGAATTAAAATTTTTTTTTATAATATAATAGTTGACAGAGAATAATTAAAAAAAATTGGAAATTATAATTATTATTATATTAATAAGAAACATAATTATAGAAAGTATTAAAAGATATATACTTCAAATTGAATCAAATTAAATTATAATATAAAGATGTACTCTAAGTGGAATCGCTAATTAAAGCTTAAACAACAGCTATATAAATTGACTTTTTTATTATAACTTGTTGTTTTTTAAATTTTGTAAATTTAAACACTATTTTATCTAGAAAATATTTCTGGATACTTGCTTTACTTTACAAATTTCTTTTATCAATTTTGATATCCGGAATTCGGTATTCTTATTCATAGATGAGATTTTTTAGATATTTTAGTTGTATACTGCTGAGTATTGGCACTTATTGCTAATTCATAGGTCTAATACACCTATTTTTATTTTTAAAGTACTATAGATAATAATTATAATTATTTATTGAATTAATAAAGAAGTTTCTTCTGGAATCTACACGTTTTTACATGTTAATAAGTCACAGCTATATAAATTTACTTAACTATTATAAACTGTTGTTTTTTCAAATATGAAGACTACACTTAGTATGTATATGTGAGCTTATAATTACTTATTTCTTTTATAAATTTTGATATTCGGAAGTCGAAATTCTTGTCGGTCGGTAGAATTATTCCGATTATTAATCTCATACTACTGAGGTCTGACGCTCAACTAGCTTTTGAAATAGTCTAAATAGTTAAATAATCGCTTTATCTTCGATATATTTTATTACAATGTCAGTTCATAGGTGCCTGTGAATATCTTTAGTTCCGAGGTTACATAGATAAAACTTGTTTAAGGCAATAGGGAAAATTTACTCTATAATTTGGGAACTTTTAAAACCCGCTAAATAATATATAGAAAAATTGCATATATTTGTTCCTGAGCAATAAATAAATAATTAGAGTTTTGTATTAAAATTGAAATAGCTTAGCTCTCCAACCGAAAACGAGTCTAGAAGAATGTTTCCTACCACAATATTTTATTTAATGAAACTATGAAAAAATGAGTACGGCTTATTCTAGCCGAGTTATTTAAATATTTAAAATTAAATTTAATTGATCTGTGAAATTCAATTTATATATTATTGAATTATTAGTAACCAGTAAATTGTGAAAAATGATTTAATTTAAAGAAAATTTTAAACATTGTTAAATATCATAATCTATGATTAATAATCGATATTAATCATACTTTTATTAGATAATATTAGATTAGATAGAATTTCTTAATTTATATTTTTGCTCTTCTACTAAAATATATTTCAAATAAAGCTGTTGTTTTTACTTGAACTTCCATAAAGATACTATCAAAATAAAATATTATTTGAAAAAAATGATTAATTATTCGGATTGAATCATATAACATATATCTACTTGTGTTTTCAATATTGTCGGGTTACTAAACTCATAAAACTGGCATTACAAATGCATGTTTTCACATCTTGAACCATATTTAATATTGTATGGTTTTTTTTAGTAGATACACTAAAATTGTAGTTGAAGTGACTAAAAACTCGTAGATATCGCGATAATTCAATAATGAATTATTTTTGATTAGCAACAGTTCTTTTGGATATAAATATAGGGTAGCACTATCTTAAGCTCAATATTATTGTAGAATGAATTAGAATTGGTAACTGATGTTCTCATTAAAATCTTAGAGAAAATTATCGGAAATTAATATTGCAAAGACGGGAATCATTTCGGTATATATTTACGTGTCTATATATTTATGTTAAATAAACATATATATATAAACATGTGTACAATTATTGTTTATATAAACATAGACCATAATATGTTTAAAATTTTGAAATTTAATAATTTTTATAGATATGATTCTCGTCTCGGAAGCACATAAAATGTTTATTTTGATATAGTCAATATATACAAAATTTGATATATGATAAATATCTGATAATAAACAATTTAATTCCATAAATTATAATAATATTAGGAATTCTCCCGATAAAGGCAAAAGTGAGCTTGATTATATTTATTTCGAAATCTAATAGTTAATGACGAAGATATTTCTAAAGTTTTTATGATTATTCTCTGATAAATATTTTGTAAAAAGTTTATACTTAATATAGCAAAAAAATATTTTTGTTTACATTTTTATCAGTCGAGCTGTAAATGTATGGCAGTCATCAAATATATAACTTAACATCAAATATATAATTTTTTGCATTATCTGAATAAAGTTCCTACAAAAGTTTATTATTTAAAGGTGAGTCTTTCGATATACTCATGATAAACCACCTATGGGTTCGATGTCTACTCTCCTATTGGGTTAGTTAGTTGGAAAGATTTTATAAAACGTGAGTTCTTTATTTAAAAACTAACTGCAATATTGACACCACTTCATTTTTATTAAGAATTTTACGAAACTTCCGATATCAATTTCTCTTAACCCCAAAGGGCTTCCTCAAAATTGAGTTTTTTAAGAACTGTACCCTGGTTTTTGTCTAAAACTAGACATTTATACAATAGATAAGTACTTGATAATACTTCTTTGTCTTCTTCGTGATACAACACATATATGTTCTATAAGTTAAGATTTGAAGTTCTTATGCTCAACTCTCTATTAAAGAATGGATACTCAGAATTATTCTACAGGCTGCAATCATTGTTAGACTATTGTATCTTGATTAATATTTATAGGGAAAATAATTATTGATGACTTCGTTTCTGTTTAAATTTAGTAGTTTAAGATGGGTATAGGGATGAGTAGATTTTATTAGTCTTGATATAAGTTGGTTGTCTCATTTTTCTACCGAGTTTGTATTTTATGGCGAAAAAGAAGAACTAAAATAATTCATAAATTTTTTAATTTTTCTTAATCAAATATATTTTATCTTTATAAATATTTTCAACATAGTCTATAGTCACCCTCAGGGTACTAATATGGTATAATACCAATATTAATATTGAAAGTATGAATTTTTTAAGAATATTTTCTTAAAGCATGATTAACAATTAAATAAAGCATAATTATTAAATAAATTTTTTTAAGGTTACGTACACAATTGAATAATTTCCTAATTCCTATTAATTTAATATATTTCATATAATATATAGTATAAACATTAATTAGTTATAGTTTATAATTTAAATAAGATACCAAAAATATTTACTTTTTCTAAAATATATTTATATATTATGACTTGAAAACTATAAACATTTTAAATAAATTGTTATGAAAGAAAAAATTTTTTCTACTCATAATGCTTTATAATATATATGT